ATTATGGCTTTCTTGAGTAAGCTTCAAAACTAGCACTAAAAAACAGTTCAGAATGTTGTACTAGGTAAATTGTATGGTACGTCGAGTCCATACTGAGTACAATATATGCCAATCAACATAAAAGGGCAGATTGGAGAGAAGTTTTCTACGCCAAGTCCTTCAACAGGCCGAACGACTCAGATATTCATTCCTGATTTATAGAAGAAGCAAGTATAACACAGTAAACATCTACAGCGTCCATGCTGAAATTATAGCGGGTGAAGTTACTCGCGGTATGAATAATATCACCTATACTGCACAACGTCCGGGAAAGCCGCTTTCGTTGGCTTTTATATATTGTTGCTGCGTTTGTTCGGAATGTAGACCTAATCTTTCCACGTCAATACATTAATTACATGTTAGTATACACAGAAAACCTGGCTGGTTTGGTAAGCCCGCGCTCGGCACTCGGTTTTGCTTCTAATCGTTTACTATTCTCAACCGCAATCGTTTGTCCGATTGAAATGCACGAGCACGTTTTCTCTAAGTTAAAAACAATTCAACATTGACTTATATCTAAAGGGGGGGGGGGGCGGGGGGGAGAGGGAATAGCAAAGGAGACTTATAATTGAAAACCGAAGTTGAAATAAGTACGCTAATGCTTATTTCTGATTTAACTGATTGAGAGAGGAACTAAATTATCAACCTTATTTTTATCGTTATCATAAAATATGTCTAGTATTGATCATTTCGCGGCAAACATTCAAAATTGCCAGGTACACGCTTTTTTAGTTCAGACTCAACGCTGTTGCTCTCTGTTTAGTTACACATATCCCCAACGTATGACCTCGACCCCCGCAACAGACCGAACAACAAAATCAGTTAGTCTAACGTCTGGATGTTGTGATGGCCACTCCACCAGATTTCAATCGTAAAACCCTGATATGTGCTTTATATACTAATAATATAATAAAAAAGGAAAGTATACGAAATCACGTCAATAAGTTAATAATAACGCAAAACGCTGGTCTGCAAACGTCTGCTTTTTTTGGAACTTACGATTCAACTTTTTAACAGGTGGTAGCCACTTTTGTCCTCCTGTTTTTTCACCATTACGTAAGCCTTTGGCTTTTATAATGCATAAAATATGCTCAATTCCTTGTGTACAAATCGTTTTATGCTGATCTAGCAATCTCAGTAACAGGTACTGCGCTTAGTTCACTGCCGAACTGACCGGACGCCCTACGTAGAAGAGCGCGTCATCAGCGTCTCAACGTACCGTGCAACAAGTAATTATTTCAAATGATTAAGAAAGTATCCTAATATACATAAAGAGCTAATGGATCTGATTTATGATTTCCTCCATCGAGATATTCACGATTAGCCCTTCCAAACTACCGCACTATGATGGGTATGTAATATATATATATCGGCAGTAACTTAGCCAGTGTCCAGGGTATTTCATACATAGTTGATATATACTCGATAGAGATATAGCTCGGCACTTGAACAATATATCTACGAGCGATTTTTCTTATGTAAAGGCTATTTCCTTTCGCCTTCGGATGATTCAATTACCATAAACGGAAAATCATCCACTGAGACCGGTATTCATTCGGTTCGGTCCACTCTGAATGTTGCTTTATTTCCATCGTTCCGTGCTCTAAGGCACTGTGTTCTTGAGTTGTGAGATGTTAGTGATCTTCCGTTTGGCATCGTGTCACACGATTTCGATCGGTGAAATTTCAGGCTAGGTCAGAGCTCTAACACCATCACACGGTGCGTGATCACGCATGAAGACATCGTTCCCGTTCGGCAACCACCTACGTACCTAAGGCAGCATTTTGGTCGACACGACCGTCGTTCTTCCAATAAATCCGTTAATGAAACGATGGGCTTCTTCACTGCACAGCCCACACTGTCATTTTGCTCAGATGTTTAGATGAAATAGAGCTTTTGCACGCCTGCGGACGCGTTGAGACTTACTGGTCGTAGTCTGAAGACGCGGTCCATCCTACATTTCAACGGCCCAATTTAGGATAATTAAGAAACGCGTGTACTTCTTTATGCACCCTAGTCAAGGTGTTCTTGTTGTTTTCGACAGTCAAAGCCAGTCGTTTCGTTGCGATGTCGTAGGGTCGTTATAGGCACAGCGACTATGTACTTTACCATTCTCTGATGCGGTTGAAAAGCCGTTACGAATCGGCCTTTCTTATGATGATGCTATCCTCTCGCTTCGTACCAACTCTGAAGTACTTTATCAGTCACCCTCTGGGCTACATTGCCAACAGCACACATCGATATTCCGACCCGTTTAGCAACTTCTTTTCGCTAACGCGGTTCTTGTTTTAGTCTAACTATTATTAGACTCTGTACCTGTTTGGTGTTTTTTTTTTCGTAGTTCTACTAAAAGTTAGCATATACTAACACAAGTAGGAAAATCATTTTTAAGTCACAGCAACGTCACGCCATCGGATATAGGAAAATACGAAATCGAATACTTCAGCTATATGTAATGGCTCCGACACTCCTACGTATTTCGGTGGACACTTATCATAGCACAAGCCTCAGAAGGTACGTAAAAATTTCAGTACAGAGGGAAACAATCTGTCATATGCAAGAATACCGCGTTTAAATATTTAGATAGTTTAGATGCGGAAATATTGTTCAAAGCTAGTAATATTTAGGAATTATGAAATTTCTAGATGGCCTTATTTAATTGGACGATGCCTGTACTTCTCGACCGAGTTCTATTAAAAATATCAATCTGAACGAATTTCAGATCGTTCAATAAAATAATAATAATAATCTTCAACCTCAGGTGTAAGCGCTGTATCGAAGCACAAAGTTAGGCTGACAATTTTTTGCTAAAACGTTACTTACGTTTTTACGTTAATTAGCGATATATTTAGGCCACCGAGCACCATTATTCAATACGTGTTAGCTACATCCTCATGAAGGAGAACGATCATTCATTTTATATTATATATTGATTTGTTACTAAACATTGAAATGGGTCGCTGATTCCCAGATAATTAAGCTACTTCAAGTGATGCTGTCTCGATGATAATCTATTACATAGCGAGTAGTTATTACGATAAGTCCTTTGGCATATGCTGACATTGCGTTTATTCAATGCAATTCCCTTTCGTCTCAATCACGTATTTAGTTCGAGGTTCAATCCTAGAACGCTTAGAATTATGTTTACCAAAATATTTTTCTCTTTTAAACTCGAAAAACATTAACATAATATCAAAGATAGTAACTGTACCTAAGCAAACCAAGAATCTAAAAAATCAGAAAATTTTAGATGGGTAAGTTTTAAAAGCCCAAATGAATGCCGGTGAGCTTGGTCTAGCCAATCTGGTTTAGATAGATATTCCTCTCTCGAAAACGACCTCTCATTCCGCAATTATCGGAACACATTTGTAGGTGTATATACCTGAACGGGTTATATATATATACACGTGCTCATTATCTTAAAAATAACTTTTTGTACAGAGGCTGAGTTCAACCAGATATATATATATACCAGATAAGATTATATATATATATATATATATATGTATATATATATATGTGTGTGTGTAAACAAATTTTGTGTTAGGTATAACGGAAAGCAATTAAAAAAAGCAAAAAGATAAAATAAAAAACTATGACTAAAAATTCATATTTCGAAGACTGTCAAGCAAGATAAAACGTACTGAACTCATAACCTTAACCAAATTTGCTTGTTGATTTGTGTTTTTATAGAGAGCGTACATAATATATTTGATTAGAAAGTGTAGATACGTAGAGATGTCACACGATTGAATTCTCAGCTTTTAACAAAAGTCTACCGGGAAGGTTGTGTGTTACGAATACAACTATATTACCAAAAGGTAACTTGCTTGTGTTAGTATTCAATTCAAATCGTATGACATGTCTTAACTAATTTGTTTTTCAAATATTAACAATTAGCTCTCAAATGTGCGTATTATACCTATATATTATTATATTCTACCTAGTATATATTAATGTGATGACCTAAAATACATATTTGCCATAGCATACCTATTAAATCACTTATCTGTCATATACCCCTTGTAGACACTTTTAATAAATAAAATGTCTAACCTTGTCGATTTTACTTCTCGAAAAAAAATTATACGCGCACCATACTTCTTCTGCTTTATAACTTCAGCCTTTCGAATACGCAATGAAAGTATCATCTCGTTTGAATTATGCTCAAGCTAAATTCGACCAGTTTCGGCCACAGAAAGTTTCTCAGCGTATCTTCACCGAAGGAAACCGGTCTGTCCTCTCTAAAGACTTTATCCCCGCAGCCCTTCGATTGTGGCTACCGTAACCATTGCTTTTCTCTTGCAACTCTATACGGCATTTAGAATAGAATGGATTTGGCCAATCTGGAGAATAGCAAATACTATTTAAGTAGCCAACAGAGCATTTGTGTAATGGAGACGTTCAGCTGAGTTTTCCCTAGATATGTAGAAATCGTTCTGCATAACGGATGGGTGCTAGGTGAGAAGAAACACAATGTTTACCATGCGACAATATGAGAACTCTCCATTATAGCAAAATATGTTTACTAAAATAAGTTAAAACTCAATTATTTGTCCTGATTATGTTCTCATATGATGAATTCTATGTGCAGCAAGTGGTGTTCGCTTGCTAACGACATCTTTTTCGAACGTTATATGTAACCAAATGAAAACGAGAAGCGTCTTTCAAAAGAGCCAGCTTCACCCTATGAGTAAATATCGACGATCAGCACCGTACATTTGCCTATTGTATCCAACCTGTTGATGATACTAACTAACTCCACTTTGATATCGTGCGGAGAAACAACAGTTTGATCTTAGCCTTCCTTCTGTTTAATTTTCAACGTTCATCTTTGCCTCTAAGGCCATTGGTCCCTAAGCAGACGCAAGTCATCACAAATCCGTTAAAAAAAGCGCGCCACATGTCCCAGCAATGTAAACAACAGTGGTACGATATGAGATTAGTATGGATCATTAGAGTGTTGATGAAACTAATATCGAAAGTAAATTGAGTGTGCTCACAACGTATTGAATACATTTTCATCATGTGTAATTATGCTTCCTACGGGTCTTGGTCGATGCATAATAGTGAAACTTCCTCGTGCCTGTAATATATAAGACGAAGTAGTCTGGTAGCAACTAAAATGCAGGCTTTGTTGAATCATTTCGTGAATGCAGTGATCCACCTGCAATGGCTATTCAGGTATCGATTGATCTGTTGCTTAACTATGGTGGAACCCTGTGGCAGGCATTGGACACTAGGTAATTAAAGTTCCTGTGTGATAGATTAATGGGTAAGGTACTAATCTTAGGTTCGAAACGGCCATGTGCTGGAAGCCAACCGTATGATAACTGAATGCCTGACATCGGAGTTGGGGAGGCCGATACTCGAAAGATGAACACTCGTATAGGCTGTACCCTTCTACGAGATCTTGAAACAAATAGGGTCGCATTTAGTATTAAAGTATAAAATAGTTATAAGTTCAATTAGGAAAACCTTAGTTCGCTATTTATTGATTTCCCTACGCGGCACGTACGGTAGGCGTGTCATACTTTCTGTGAATTTTTAGCGAAACGTGTTAAAGCAAACAGTTTTTTTGTGCTTTCAAAAAGCCCGCTGTTTAAACTATATGAAAATAGTTCCGATTGCGCACCCGGTACCTCAGTGATCAGTATGTGAGCGGGCCATAATAAACCTATGACGAACGTAGACCGCATCAATTATTGGAAGTTAACAATGAACAGCTTCTTGAGATGAATGTTGGAAAAAATCTGCCCAAGTATAATCATACCATAGAAGCAGTGCATAAGTATTTCCGTATTTTTTTTTGCCAGAACACAGTTTATACGGCTTTCTCTAGTTCTACACTACCACCTTAGTGAACAATGGAAGTGTTTTCTGACTTGTACTATATCTGTTCATCAAGGACGAACATCACAGGGGGGAAGTGGGGTGAATCATCGGGGTTCGAACAAAAGTTAGTTGAAGATCCTAGTTGTTAGATCAAATTGCCGATCATTGTACTGAACCAAAAAGTCGGTCTTCTTTTGTTCTTGGGACTGAAACCATTCAGTCATGCTGTTAGCAGGAATAACTGAGCTAAGAATACGTACCACATTTTTTTGGAAAATACGTAAAACATAGTAAATCTGTCATTCCTCTCGAGGTTTAGAAAATATAAATGCAAATATAGTTATAGTTGAACACTTTAAAAATATTTTCAAATATATGAAGTTACTTGTTCCAAATTGAACAAGAAAATTTAGTTTCATTTCCTTCAACATTTGTATAGAATTCCCGGTAACAAACGTGTCGATTGCGTGGCAGAATATCATAATATGTACAAATGACTTAAAAGGACCGTCACGGATGCTTGCCTAGAGGAAGATCTAGATGTACATCTATAAGAGAACTAAAAACACCGACATTTATGTTATCATTATTATTTACATGTAGTTACCTAAATTTAGCACATCATCAGAATATTTATTCTATAGACAAGAACCAACACTTACACATTATTCTATGTAATATTTCAAGTCTACAATAAAGATTAAACAAGACATCCTTACCAGTTAATGAATCCTGAAGCTGCTTCTATGAAAGGGAATTACTAGCGAAGTTCTACTAAGTTATTACGGTATGAACCTCGAGAAGTGGACCGGTCGCACATTGCCAGAACTCATTCTGTCATTGATAGTCAGGTAGAAGTGTCCGAGCCTGAATCCGTCATGTTCAATAGCTCATACTAAACCACGTCGACAATTGTGAACATTTATAGTTAATAGATAATAGATGCTTTTCGATTTTAGCGAAGGTTAATAGTTTCCGACAGCAAACGCGTTGCACAAAAGTTCTCTCAGTTTCGAACGTCAGTCTTTGTAGATCCGAACGCCATATTAATCCGTTATCTGCCCTTATGGTAGGGGAAGTTGCAAATCTCGAACTTCTAATCTCGTTGCACCGACATAGATCGTCACTGACATGAAATAGAGGCAAAAATTTCCTATAAAAAACCGTAATTATATCCTTCTCTAATATTTAAATACAACTTCAGCTGGATTCACTATTTGGCAAACGAGTTGCATGATGTTTGTTAACATATGAGTATGGATAGATATCCAGTCTGTTTGATCCTGGCAAAAAAGTTTTGCTACCTGAGAAGGGTACAGGGTTAAAGGAGTATTCTTATTAGTTCACTTCTGCTACCTCTATGACAACTAGTTAAGTCTCCACTGGAGAAGGACTGAGCCAGCCAGGATAAGCAGGCGTGAAGAGGCGATGTACTCCTGCGCGGGTCTTCGAGGTCGCACGGACTCGGGTGGAGAGGGATGATTGTGCAGCGGAGAGGCGTATATATTGGTCGCATGCGCGTTCGGTGGAAAGGATGGTATACGGGGGAAGGAATTAGTATGTAGTTGAGACTCTATTACAGGTTTCTGCGTGTTTGTACTCTACAACAGTGTTCTTCTCTCCCCGAAAGTGTAATACTGGATACATAGAGACATATAGCCTATTTTATTCTAGCGTACACGCTCATAATACGTGTCTTCAACATAAAGAACAAGTACTAACTTCTGCACTCTGAATCACTAACGATGTAGTACTGTGTTGAACAGTGTTGAACATTTGCTACGTGTAGTGTCCATTAATATGCATTGCCACAAACTTCTCTTTTAACTTAATATTTGGTGGATTTTATTGAAGCCTTACCTATTTCCAATCAATCGGATTTATTTCATAGCCAATTAGATGTCGTTGGTTGTCGACATTGGTAAACGTCGTTTTACTGATTCAATTGCTTAAATGCCAATATTCTATGATTTTTAATATTTGCTTATTGAATATTCTCAATGAGTTATGAAACACAGTAGTACCGCAAAAATTTTGCTCTGTGTTCTTTATATAGTACGTGGTAAAAAGCAGCCTTTTCTGACTTCCTCGATAACTAGGTTTCTAAATGCAAAAGCAATGAAGTATTTATATAACACAAGCAAGAGGCAATAATAGAGTATCTGAAACGTGCCCGCTAAGTTACTCTTCTAAGTTTTGTATTCAGAAAAGGCTTGACTATATTTGATATGCTTATTTCCTGTACGTTACAAAAGTTCATCATATGTGGATCCCTGTACCTCATGTCTAAAGCAAAGGAGATTATCTAAAATCTTTTTGAGTACATGGAACGCTTGTGTTAACTTTAAGGTTTTGCGGTCGACATAACTTACGGTACATTCATATTACCTTTAACATACTCCCACATCGCATTAACAACGAATTATGAAATCAGATGAATACGATTTGGTATGTTTATTACAAGCGCGAACAATATAAATTGTTGAACTACCTAAAACTAACGGAATTAGAAGATTGCTTCACAGGCTAAAGTTGCAATAATTATGTAGTATACATTCGACTCGACTAGGTAAACAGGGCCGATATGTTTACCCTGCTGGTCCATACGAGAGTTGGATAGCTTAGTGGGTAACGTATTTGACTAAAAACTTTCTAGGTACTCGTTGTGGTCTAGGTTCGAACTCGAGCGTAGACACACAGGTCGTGTTGTGCTGAGAGCCACGCGTGTGATCGAGTGCCTAACGGTAATACCGGACTGAAAGCCCGAAACGAAGGCCTGTTAGAGAAGACCCAAATCTTTGCTAGCAGTCTTCAAAGCAAGACTAAAAGGCAGCTTTGAACACTTGTCAAATGGTAGGATACACGAGAGTCAGCTTGGAAAATTGCACTTCAGACCAACATACGCGGATAAAAGGTATTTGGAAAAATCTGCGCCTTTATGACCGCAAGAAAGTTTTTTAATTTTCAATCAATTTTTAATAAATTCTAGTAAAAGGCCTAATCTAAAATTTGAACATATGATTGGTCACTCGAATTTACCTTAACAGCAATAAGAAAATAAGTCAGGTTGCATTCATGTTAATGTTACCATTCCTGTACAAATACGAAGAAACGATTCATCATTGACCCCGTCAATGGGACCTATGTTCAATGCATGACGACTCCTAAATCTGTATTTAAGCCAAAAAACAGGCCATCAAAGACTCCGTATCCTCTACTTTGCAAGTGAGTGTGTGTGTCCTTGTGGGCGCTGCTTCTGTTTTCCAGGCACAGCCTTCTGCTCCACGTACCGGTCTACCAGAGAAAGAAGCGACGCCAGCAAGTCTGTTTACTGTCCATGATAATAGGAGAGATTGAGTTAGGCGACAGTTAAGTTGGGCAATAGCCCGCTTTGCCTTGTTGTGCACTATAAAGGCATTAATACAAACGAACGCGATATCGTACTTATGACACGTATCTCGTAGAGTATTTACCGAATGATTAGCAGAGGAAAACCCATGGTATAAAATATAAGCAAATAAAATTTGCTTGCCATACGGATGCACTTAAAGTTTAAAGGTTAGCTGTTTGTCATATCAGGCTATTTATGTCGTAAGAGGTAATTAACAATGTTAGAGTTACTTATCTTGAAGTATGTTTGGATATGCTTAATGAGTCGTTCATCTCAACCGTAGAGGGATTCCCTAGGAAAAAGTCAAAACCTTGTTAAGCAGATCCAGACCATCGAGAGCTAGTGATATAGGGAGCTTAAATTTAGTCCTTGTTATGCTCCTCGTTTGATGAGTGTTCCAGCTGCTTAATAAAGAACATGTATAATTACGGGTGCAAAAACAAAGAGTGCAAATCTAAATAAATAGAATCTTTTTTACGATTTATATACTAAGGTCAAAAGATTTTTGGAATTCGGTAAAATGAAAAGATACCCTAGACAATTTGTAAAATGATTGTCGAGTTCCTTGCTCCTATTAATAACCCCTGAAAAATACATTGAATTGTCTTTCTAAGGAAAGGTATTACAGAAAAACCTGGACTAACACTGAAAAATGTCTGTCTTGTGTACAGAAGTAACGAATGGAGCAGATGTTCCGATGTCATATGGAGGCTTCTGGGAACCGCGATCTTTGTAACGAAATCATGTTTGATTTGAATAGGGCGACGTAACTTGGGGAATATATATATATGCTTAGTTTTAGACGCAAACATCCCATGTTAGTTGTATGAAATGCGTATCTGTGTAGGGAATGTAATCCAATGTTGCTGTCTTCGTCGTTGTCGTTCCTTAGTCTTCTTCGACCGCCCAAAAGAAAAAGGGGCATGAGAGAGGTAGATGCTCATTCTACGACAATCGCTTTAAAATAGTTTGCAACGATATTCTTCTACTGATACGAAAATAACACGCTCTGTGAAAACACGAAACAATCATGTGTCTGCTGACGTGTATTTATTTAGCTTAGGCTGGTTGAGCGTTGCCTTACAAGGCATCTAACTGCTTGAACGTCATCAATATTTCTATTATTTTTGTTAAAAAGAAAAAACAAGGAAAAATAGTTTATTTTTAATACGGATCCTCGATCTGATCTCATCAAATCCATCAAAGTTTCGAGGGATTAGTATTGTCCTAACAGAGTAAGCATAATACATTTTGTAAAATGTAATCTTAAGGGGGCTTCATAGTTGTATAGTGTTGATCGTAACTTATTCGCGAATACAATTCATGTATAGTGAGCCATCTACGTATATTTCTGTAGGGTGTTATCCGTTATGGTCATTTACAAAGGCATCTCCCCAAAACTTCCTCGAGAACAAAGAGTGTCGATTCTATACTTACGGGCAGTGACACATATAGGGCGATGGAGTAGCGGTAATGCTTCATGTGTGTATAAAGGGATTCATGCTTAAACTACCATGCCAAGTAGCTAAATATTCTGCTTAGAAAAAGAGATGAGAAACTGAGAGGATTTCAGGCAAGTTAGATATCATAGCGACAAACAAACAGGGGGGTTTATTATCAATATTACGCTTTTCTCCGAATACTCAACAGTTGCTTTCCCTTTACAGGGAGATGTATTTTATGATACGAACGGGTCTAGTATGAGCTTACCGGTTAGTATACGGAGACGCTAGCGCCACGATTAGCTCCGAAACAAACCAGAAACCTTTGTTCCTGAAAAACTACCCTTAATTGATCGATTTAATTATTATTCGATAATTTAATTATTCAGCAATACAGTTTGGCACCCATCAGTACGTACGACCTATAGTAGTGTTGATTGAAATTTGTATGCTCTTCAGCATAAAATTGTTCGCCTTAGAGATTTTGCCTAGCTAGATAGCTTAACGTTAATAGCAATATGTACGATATTAATTTTCTTCATCTTTCGATATAGTTGAACAAAATTGCGTTAATCTGGCGATGACGCGTTGCTCTAGCCTATTTGATACTAAATTTGTAGGGAAAAAATTGTTTTGACAACATTCAGCCCTTGCTAAGACAAACAAGAGTGAAGGGGCTCTATTGATCTGAGTTTCTAACTCTAACATTAGTTTTGCCACTGTATCGTTTGGTTTTCTGTTCACAATCGTTATCCGTCCTCGGTACAACGGTAATATGTTAGCTCAACCGAAATGTCCGGTCAGCCTAGTTTTGAACTAAAAAGCAAAATAAGAATCACGCAGGCGATTATTAAAGAAAAAAGAGAACATTAGATATGACTTGAAAACAGAATTAGGTATACAGTTTCCGAGAGATATGGTCAATTCTGATTGAGCTGGAAAACAGTGTCAGCCCTCGAAGAGGCCTTGAGCGACTGACGCAGGGGAATATAAAGCGATTGTGCTTACTTCCAGAGCAATTTTTCTTTAGTTCTTAATTTTATTACTATCCCGTATATATGAGAATTAAAGAAAAATTCATCACTGTGCACCGTGTCGAAAGACGCGAGAAGGAAACCATTTGAACGGGGCCTATCACCTTTTCTTGGCAGCTTTAAGGTTTATTTTTCAAAGCTTCAATCGCCGCCGCCGCCACCTAACGTTCGTGAAACGTTTCAATAAGAAAAAAACGTCATTACAAAGAAAAGAGTCGGTAAAATAGAATCACCAATAAAAATTCTCTTCAAATTCCGAATCTAATTAATGTTATATTTTGAGTAGAGAGAACATTTCATCGAATCCGACTTATTTATTTTACAACAAATAGTAACTGTTCGAAGCTTCGGTTCGACTTAATGGTCTAGCTGTCAAAATAAATTGAATTTTTACAAGCATTCAAGGACAAAAAAAAATAGCTTTGCCTCTAAGCATTGATTTAATGAGTTTTTACTGCGAATCCCTACGTTGGCGTGCAATTTCCGCATTCAGATGCATTCAACTTCAAGGATATTTACGAGCAGTCCGTTCCAGCCCAAAACAAAGGTTTTATATTGTACATTCCGTATTTAGTGCTCCGTAAAGCTGCCGCTGCAAATACCGTACATAGTCGGTATTTGCAGTGGCAGCTTTGTTTGCTCTCGTAGATCCATTTAGTCTATACAGATATACAATTCGGAAGAACAACGTAAGTGAAATTAATTTTCCCTTCGGTTTTTAATTCGAATTCGGATAATTACCGAAAATTAAGCAAATTACGGAATACCTTATTGTGTTTATGATATATAATAATGATGATGTGTTAGCACCATCTGTTTGGTCAACATTATGTGTCCGTAATGTGATAAAAAATACGATTGAAGTATATGTTTGGTTGGCTAATGGCAAGTAACTACAGACATGGAAACCCACAGGGCATTTGGGGCGAATACGACGATTTGGGGCGTCCGAGCGTTCGTAGCTGATTTACCGGCTGAAATATTCTGACATTGCAATAAATTGCCCGAAGCATAAAGCGCAACCTTAAAGTCGAAAGGGGTTAATGATGCTTTTAATGAAAACCCACACTGGACCTCGGTCGTTGCCGCAATCAGTCGGTAATGTGCTCTCCGAATAATCGTCCACTTGGTGTCAACGTTATTGCCAGGTAAGTAGAGCATTTTTCCTGTCACCGAGCAGAAATGACGCTGTCACATTTACTGGTCTGTCGCGGTGGAATCTCTCTCTGTGATCTCGCGCTCTGATCTTTCGCACGTTTGCAAGTCAGAACTCGTCGCCGTATCTTTTGAAGCCAGCTTATTGAGAATGGTATTAGCTCTTGGGCGATAAAAAATTAGAACAAAAATAGGCTTAAGGCATTACCCTGGGTAAATCCAATGGTTTATTTAATGGGCTTGCGCTCGGCAACTCCGGTTTGCAGCTATACTTTGCTTGCCTAAAAACATGCCTGAATACCTCCTTCGACATTCCAGGTCGCATCAGTTCAAAAATGCTTGGCATTCACAGGGGTCATGCCAAACACACATCGGAACTCGAAGGTGACTACCTACAAACGTCTATTTGTTATATATTTCAGAGCATTTGAACGTGCTTTGCAATTGCTTAAGCATTTGAGCATTAAGAGCGCGTATTATGTTCTATGATAAGAGTATCTGTAAGCGGTGCGAGTGGTGTAAGATGTTTTTGACGACCAAAGTTATGATGAGTCAGCGCCATGAGTGACCGTGACGGTTTTGTGACAAAGGCGATTCTGGTTCCAAGTGACCTGTCCCAATGAGTACGGTCGAGAACACGGAAAAGGGAACTCGAGTTTTTCATCACGATAATTACCGGAGCAGACACCATTTATTGCATCACAAGTTTTATAAAACATATTGATGCCTGTGTCGTTTACGCTCCATATTTACCTCCCTCTGTAAGTATTCCTTTTTACAAAAGCTCTAGAAACACCTGAAAAAAGACTTATCATGATCGAGGAAATCTGTGGTAAAACTTCTATCGAGATACACTTGTTCTTACGATTGAATTTAAACGGCTCTTTGATAGATTGAAAAACCAGTGGTAACAAAACCTATACTTTAGCTGCACTAGTTTCCTCGTTTGTCTAAAGCTGCAAATTATTAGGTCGTAACACAAAGAAAGTCGCTGTCCCCTAAATTCACCCTTTTCCTTTTCTTCTCCACTGTATTCAGCTTCAATTGCTCTCTCTTGTCAGAAAGCTCATTCTATTATTTTCATGATGCCTCGAATAATATTGTGTTTCGAGTTCAAGTTCCAAAGATATATTTTTCTGGTGAAAGTCATTTTCGACGCTTACATTGTTTCGCCTTTTCACCTCGAAATATTTGTGCTAATTACAGCGGAGAGATCATAACTGCGGAGACTGCTTGAATGGGCGTGCTAGTTCAATGATCTTGAACCTGGAGGATGCACCCTAACTTTTCAGTGTCAATGAAAACTTTAGATGGCAGATAACTTGTTAGGTGACATAGGAGCTATGTCACGACCATTTGACTATTGTCAGGCATCTTTATTGTATGAAATTTTATCCAAATTTAAGGGTCTCGGTGCTTCATAGATTACCTGAAAGAAAGACGGCTCCTCGTCAAGCGAATAAGGTCAACATATCTTCCGGCAGGCGCAGCCGCAACGAGAAGTTTCTACGCACAATTGTTACGGGTAGTGTCTCTACGTTGACATTAAATAGCGAGAAAAAAATGCACAGCTCCGATAAGTACACCCAAGCCTGGAGTTGAATTACATCTTCATCTTAGGAAATCCATTTGCATTTGCGGGACTGAAAAGGTCTTACACTGGGAAATATTTAAAAAAAAACAAGAAGGTTTTCAAGGACTTAGTTGTTGCCTAGTCCCATTTATTGGACAGCGCTATTTAACGGTACAGATACGAAGGTATTCTTTTCCATGGCAATGCGAGACCACATACAGCAAAGGTTTCGGTGAGCAATCTGTTTGAGTCCACCATATTCTTCAGACTCTACGTCAACGGATTGCCGCCTTTTTCGATGATCGCTGGCAAATTAAACTAGGAAACGTACATTTCACAACGATGAGGGCCTCAAAACCTAGTTGGGCGACTCTTTCAACATCAAAGCTAAAATTTCTGGAATTTCTGGAAATTTCTGGAAAGGAAATATAAGTTCCTGGGAGATGAGAGAAAATCGTAGAAATAATGGAAAACGTTGAACTTTCTGCTAAAATTCGAGGAAAACTGTGTATTCTTATTTGAGTGAAAAACGACATCACCTAGCGTTTAAACTTATATTCATGATAGAAGCTTAATGAAGTGCTTATTTAACATGAAATCGGTAATATTTTTATATATTCTAAGCTTCGTTTGATCCAGCCATTACCCGCCAAGGGCATAGCTCTTCTTGTTTTTTTCATTTGCAGATGTAAATCACCGTAGTTCAAAGCATTTATAAATTTTTAGTTCTTAACTTCTTTCACTTATTACAATACAGCTCAACCCTTTTTGTTA